CACCGTCAGTACTGCTACTGCTCTTATGATTACTACCACTATTACTACTGCTACCACCACTATCATCACCTCTACTGCTACTACGAATAGTTTAAACTGCACTCATAATAACTGATTCAAAAAGCCCCACGTTATAAAAGATGGCCCTCACTAAAATTGACCGTTGGTTCGAGGACAAAGTTTGCCATGCTTACTCGATCTGATGACACCTTGCCGCTAATGAATTGAAAATTAAGGTGTGAAACTAGACTTTTCAGGGCAGCCTCCTTCTTTTTACAAATAACATCGCAATGGATTTTGGACCCAATTAGAAAATTCGATTCCCAACTAAAATTTTGCAGTTTTCCTATCAGTTGGTGTCCATTCAGGTGTTTTGAACAGTTAACTTTTAAAAGCAAGAGGGGAGTCTCTCACACCGCCCTATTCCTGGTAAAGAGAACCTACACAAATATCTTTCGGGGCGCTGAAACCGATGAGACATTCGCGGAAATTTACCGATATGCTTGTAACTGGAAAATATTTCGTAAAACCAAAATAGCGTTTGGCAAAATTCCCTCAGTGCTTTGCTAAATTGCACCGGTAACAGCCTTGTCCACTCAGTGGGTGTATACACCCGACCGAGTAGTATTTAAGCCTGCGATAATTATCAGTATGGGATAACCTAAAAACTGTGCTCGGTTCGCTTCCAGATGCATAAGCCTTAACTGGCTTAAATTGAGTATTGTGATCTGTTCCTTGCATGGGTTCAAAAAGCACCCCCTTCAGAGGGGCTGACGAGCCTCCCTAGAATATCCAAAAGCGAACTTACCATCTGAGCAGAATCCAGCATCCTTTTTTCTTTTTCCTCTTCTTTTCGTTTCTTTTCCTTCTTTTTTCTGTCCTTGAGTACAGTCTTTTCAACGTGCTCATACTGGTAAAAAAGTAGAGGGAATAGAAGAATGTCCATACAATTGTAAAATGGGCTCCCCTTAGGGACTGGAGACCTAACCTTTAGAAGATCGATCAAGTAACTTTTGACAACTTAGTAGGGTCATGGTAGTGGTACGTGTTGGTCCTCCCACCCCTCCTCCCCCCTATAGACAGGGATCCCCTCATTAATTCAGATTCATACACGAGATTAACATAGTTTACTGGGAGGCAACTATCATCTACTACCCACCAAATTTAGCATCGATTGGACAAACCGCGTAATGACTGAACGTTGCTAATGCTTACTAACTCCTGATAAGTCTATCATTCTCTCTTCTAATAGCTCTGCAGTCTCAACCAAGTGGTATCTGACCAATACCAAATGGGGCCGTCAAGACAAGAAGACCAATGAGAGG